GCGGTTGGTGCCGTGGTGGGGCCGCTGGGCCAGGCTGCACCCGCACATCAGCCCCTTGCAGGGAGGCTGCTCTGGACAGGCCGGGAGCTGCTCCAGCCCAGGGGGCCACCGGTTAACTGCTGGCTGTCCATGGCTGAGCAGGGGATCAGAGTCTGGTCTCCCACGTGCCAGACTAGTGCCTTGAGCCCTGGGCCATCCGAGCGGAGGGAGCTGCGCGGGAGAATGGCGGGTTAACCCACCGAGCGGTTTGTGAAGCGATACCTCGAGCAGGAGACGTTTGTCAGCTATGCCCCCCTCCTCTCCCCTTTGGGGCTTCTGGCTGGCCTGAGGGGCTCACTCCTCTCTCTGCTTTCCTTCCAGGCCTGTTCTCCTGGCACCCCTTCCTGATGGCGCTTGCGGTAAGTCGTGACATAGGGCTCTTCTGTCACTGCACCCCAGCCCCCGGGGTGGGCTGCGCAGTGCAGCGGGGCCCCGTGTCTCCTCACGCCGTCGGCGGGCGTGGTGCAGCACAGCGCGGCTCCGGGTCTCCTCATGCTGTCAGCAAGCGTGGCGCAGTGCAGCGGGGCCCCGTGTCTCCTCACGCCGTCGGTGGGTGGTGGGCGTAAGCACTGCAAGCAGGTTCCAAACCAATAGTTCTTTGCCAGCCGGAAGTAAAGGGGGCCCCGGGAATCCCCCGCCCTGTATCGCGGAGCATTGCCAGCTCTGGCTTCCCCTTGTGCAGCCAGGATCCGAGCGCAGCCTCCCCTGAAGAGGCTCATCAAACCAGCTCAGCTACCTGCCTGTCTCCCATCGGCTCCGTCCTGGCCGCGTGCAAGCAGGTTCCAAACCAATAGTTCTTTGCCAGCCGGAAGTAAAGGGGGCCCCGGGAATCCCCCGCCCTGTATCGCGGAGCATTGCCAGCTCTGGCTTCCCCTTGTGCAGCCAGGATCCGAGCGCAGCCTCCCCTGAAGAGGCTCATCAAACCAGCTCAGCTACCTGCCTGTCTCCCATCGGCTCCGTCCTGGCCGCGCTTTGCAGCACCCACCAGCCGCCTGCTCAACTCTGCAGTGTGTGAGCGGTGGGGGCTGCAGGGAACAGGGTAGCCCCCGTGAGGGGAGATCCCTCCTTCAGAGCCTCGAGCGGCGCCGCTGGGGAACTTGGCAGAGCGGACGCAGCCCCGCTGCACCGACTGTATCTTCGACACTTCTACGGGCCCAGCCCCAGGACTTTCCCCGGCCTTCAATGGATTTCCCCTCCCAGCGCCCCAGGGAGACCGGCAGAGGGCGAGTGAGTCCCACAGGGAGTAAGGATCATGTGCATGAAGGGACTTAGGCACCTAACTCCCATCGAGGTCAATAGGAATTAGGTGCTTTTAAAAATACAGCCCTTAACGACTGACCCGAGATCGTGCAGGAAGTCGGTGATGCTGGTGGGAATTGAACTGGGATCTTCAAGCCCCAGACGAGCCCCCAATCCCCGGGGGTCCAGGCAGCGCTGGCTGCGCCCCAAAGCCCGGAGGCGCTGGGCGTGGGGTGACGCTCTCGGGAGGGAGCAGCCCGTTGCTATTTGGAGGGGCCGTTTCCAGGCCGTGATGGGTCGGGGCAGCCCTTGGGGGTGGGAGGAGAGAGGCACCTGCCTCCCCCCACGTGGCGCCCACAACCAGCCGTCTCCCTCTGTGCCCCCCCGGT